ACCCCTCCCCCCATATATGATGGACAAGCCTATCTTACAAGTCATCAGGATGCTTTGATGGGGAGTTAGCTTTAATTATGCACACTGTGATATCATTCTACTCACCAGCTGGCGAAAGAGTTAATTCTTTCCCAAAGACCATAGTTGCCCTTGTCTTCTCAACCTGATTCAGAGATGCAATAAAATATGAAGCAAATTTATGATCTGTTTCAAGCTTTTTATGGCTGTATTTTTAAATTCATATATGCACATATAAGAACTATGATCTGTGAATAATTTGAAATGCTATAGTAGAATGATACATTTTAGATAAAACATAACCATATCTTTATATAATTGTCTCAGATTAAAATAAAAAAGAAAAATAGATTTCTAATGTGGACCAAACTGAAAAACTAATGACAGCCATAAACTGCTAACCAACCATAAATTAACATCTTCATCAATGCTAAAATGGTATTGGTGGTTATATAAAGCAATTATTATTTCTCCTTATAAGTTTCAGAATAAAGTTCAGGGATATTTAAAGGATCCATTATTTACAAATGCTTTGCAATCTTAACAGATTTCATATTTTATTAGGAGGATGGTTGCAACTCAAATTTGCTATGTTAATAGAGATGTTTAGAGATGAGAATTTAGATTTAAACATAAAAGTGCTTCATGGCCTAACCTCATTTTATGCATTTATCTGCTCTGGCAATTACTGACGAACTTGGTATAAGGATTTCTTTGTTAAATATCCTTCATCTACTCTTTGAAAAGAGAAGACAAATAATAGCTTATTATGGGAGAGCCTCAGATTATGTACCGAACTGGTCAAAACGGTAGATCACACACTGTCTCTTTAAGTAAGTACAGCTACATTTGCCAGGTACAGTCTCTCTTCAGAGCTATGGTCAAATTCAGGTGCCAGGCTGAGCCTATGCCCCCATCTGATACTTTCGTGAAAAGAAAGTGATTTTCCTAACTAGGCCTCCACAGAAACATGAAGACACATGGAGAAAAGGAAATTTGTCTATCAAAAGCCCCAAGTATCAGGAAGCAGGGTTAGGGGATAATTTAATTTTCTTTTGGAGAAGCATCAGGCATACATAGCTTTAAAGTGTAGATTTCTCAAGAGAGTAAAATTAAGTAAGATCTGGAATTACTCAACAAAGTAAGCACTTTCTAAGATTTAGAAAACATTTTTTTTTTTTCTTAATGAAAACAGAACTATGGAGGACCTGGGTGGTGTGCACACTGTTTCTGCCACTCAGTTGCTATTTACACTACATCGTCCCATAGGGTAGTTACTGTGGACGATCATCTCCAAAGGTCGAAAATGATCTTCACTGGCTAAGTCTTAGGACCAGTCTTAATTTTTTGCAAGTATTGTGTAGTCTGAGGACTTTCTTCTTTAAAAATGAATACTATTTTATAGCTTTTCTGTTAGTTTAAAATAAGTTCAAAATAAAAAGATTTAAAAAAATGCCTAGTTTCAAAACATGGAGAAAATACTACTTCCTGTAAACTTTTTGACTCATAAAAAATTCAAGTGATTTCAAATACTTAAAAACATTCCATTTAAAGTTTAAAGCAACACATTTATAAAATTTTAAATATATCAGACAGTTCTTAGAAGTTATGGAATGAAAGTACATATCATTTAAACATGAATTTAAGCATAAGAGACAAAAGCAATTACTAAAAAATGTGGGTTTTTAGGTAATAATGACACACATTTTGTGTTAACTACAATGTCTAGTTCCTAGAAATAAGTTATATGGAGTAAATGTTCTCTTACAAACAAAAAAAATCTTCAACTAATACGTGCTTTATATTTGTGTTTAAATTTGACTCAGTGATGAATCATTAGATAGTTGTACCTTTACCTGTTACTAATATTCCTCTAGTTTTTCTTATAAGCACTAAATGTTATAAGGGAAATAAAATGCTTCATGAGTCTATCTCTAAACATTTACTTTCTGTGTAGTCTATAATATGTCATGTTCTCCTTATAAAAATAAATACATTTAGGAATCGAGAACATAAACTATACCTCAAATAACTAACAGTAACCTGTATCGAACCCTTATCTACTATAACCATTGAGTATTTTCTCTTGTCCAGCTATATCCTGAATAGAAAATGCACATTATTCCTCACACGATCATGGCTAATTCCAGAGAGGTCTGCAAAATTTTTATTTACTCAATTAACACTTTTTAGCGTAAAACTGAAAACAAAGATAATTATTTCATAGATTGTCCATTTAATGACATAATTTACCCCGATCATTAGACAATATTGAACTGACTAGTTCAAACATGCACGAACACCTTCAGAGTCTAAGGTGAGTCCCCGTAAAACCTTAATGACTCACGGGAGTGTTTCTTGGAAAAGCCAGGGGTCCCAGTAAAATGCTGCAAGTACAGTTACTAAAGGAGCCACATCTCATTTTCATCGACAGCATTCCGTATTGCATGCTTTTTTACAGTTTGGATTTCAGCCTTATGAATAAATAGAATACTGTCCAAATATTATTGCTTCGTTCATTATTTGTGGGAAAGCGATAGGCAGAAGACAAAGACCAGCCCTGATGTGATCCCGCTCCCATTTCTTGTTGCACTTATCCATCTCTCCACGGAATATGAACAATTATTAAGACTTGTAGCCTGGCAAGGTCAGTCTGGTTAAAATGATCTTATTTAAAAACTTACTAGTCGCTGATATTTCTTGGTTCTGTGTTTACTTCCCATGTAAATAACTAAGCAAAAATATATCACTCTGAATATAACAATTAATGAACTTTTAGGGAGAGTTTCAGAAAATAAGAATCTGTGTATATGTGTGTGAGTGTGGAGGGAGAGGACAGCAAAATTATTTTCGAAATAATT